AGTTCAGAGAGCAGAGCCAGTTCAGAGAGCAGAGACAGTTCAGAGAGTAGAGACAGTTCAGAGAGCAGAGACAGTTCAGAGAGCAGAGCCAGTTCAGAGAGCAGAGACAGTTCAGAGAGCAGAGACAGTTCAGAGAGCAGAGCCAGTTCAGAGAGTAGAGACAGTTCAGAGAGCAGAGACAGTTCAGAGAGCAGAGAGGATACCTGTTGGTGTCCGGAGCGACTCGTCAGCAGGAGCGGTCTGGCGATGCAAACACCGGCTGACTTCATTGACGCGAGGCTCATCTGGGCCAAAGACGACCGGCAGCTTCTCGGAGTTTTGTCTTCGGCTGTGAGGGAACGATCCAACATGAAGTCAAACAAGAAGTTTCACACAAACTGGAGTCAAAGGTGAAAGGGAACAAGCTGAAATGATTTGAGGACAGTTTAACTGCAGTTCAAGTTCTTTATGCTTCTGCAGCGATTCATTCATAAAACATTCAGCTCATTCAGGAGCTACAACGTTTCTGTAACTTCTGTCATTTTCAAACATTCAAAGAAATATATTGAAATCTGTTTGAAGTCTGCTTCAGTGCAGACGTTCTGTTTCTGACTTTTGTTGATTCTTTTAGCCAGCCTGTTTTACTGCACGTTTACTTAACCCTTTGTTACTTTTAGCTATTACCTAGACTTTTACTGCTTTTGGCTATTTGTAGTAGCTTCATCTAAAATGTTTCTCATTTTTATTTTAAGCTAGCCTTATGCTACTTTTAGCTAGTCTGTTACAAATTTTGTTCTTTTGCTACTTTGGGCAACTGTCCTGCTGATTTTGGCTATTGCTTGGCTACTTTTAGCTAGCTTTTTGCTACATTTAGCTTTTGTACGTCCTAAATTTAAAGTGTTCAGATAAACTTTTGCTACTTTTATCTAGTCTGTTACTAATTCCAGCTGTTCTTTTGCTACTTTAGGCTATTGCTTGGCTACTTTTAGCTAGTGGTTTTTATTACATTCAGCTTTTGAATGCCATTTTCAACTTATATAAAGTGCTTATCCTTTTGTTACTTTTAGCTAGTCTGTAACTACTTTTAGCTGTTCTTTTGCTACTTTGGGTTAATGTTCCACTGCTTTTGGCTATTTTTAGCTAGCTTTTTGCTACATTTTAAGTCATTTTCAACTTTGTTTTAGCTAGCATCTTGCTACTTTCAGGTAGCCATATGCTACTTTTAGCTATTGTTTTACTACTTTATCAATTATTTGCTACAGTTTTACTAGTTGTGGCTTTTAGCTAGCCTTTCCCTACTTTAGCTTTTAGCTAGCATTTTCCTGTTTTTAAGCTTTAGCTGGTGTTCTGCTTCTTCAAGCATTAACTCAGTTTAAGCTCTTTCAGCAGTCGTTCAGCTCTCAACATGTTCACACTGAACTTGAACAGAAAATAAAGTTATTTAGTTTGAAGTTACGCTCAGAAAGCTTAAAAACAGCAGATCCAGCTGTGATGGCGCGCATCCATCAGTGCCTGCATCACTCTCAGCTCCACCCTCTGAGCCCACCTGGTACCTGCTCCAGCATGCAGTTGGAACATTTGCATGTTTGTGTCTCACGGTCTGACCTCTCTCTGTGAAGTCGAGGACGGTGAACGAGTTGCAGTCCTTGGGACTTCTGCTCTTTCCTCCGGATGTTTGCAGGTTTGAAGAATCATTCAGCGCCTCCTTCGTCACAAGTGAATTATCTCCGTCACTCGTTCTTTTGGATTTGCTTTTATTTTTCTTAGAAGACATTATAACTGCAACAATGTTTCCCACGTGAAAAACATGCGTAAACACAAGAGGAGCGACGATAACTTCCTGGTTAAAGTTTAGCCACGCCCCCTATTACCGTAACTCCACGTGGTTGGACCAGTAAGACCAGTGATGGCTGTCCAGCTCCATTCATGAAAACATTGCAGTTATGTTGACAGATTAATTGATTTAATAAACAACAACGGTGGCAGTTTAGTTTAAACTATGTTACAACATGGTGACTCTTTAAGGAAAGGTGCGCCAAACTCCGTATAAATTGTTATTTATTAAAGATAATATTAATATTTGGCTTTTATGAACAATAAAAATAAATTATAAAGGTAGTACAAACACGCTTAGGGTGCATAATTATATTCGGGGTATGTTTTATATCCCGCATATCTTTTTTTTCTTGAACTTTAGTATTTTTTCTTATCTTCTTTAGTTTCAAGGAAATTGTTTAAATACTAACTTGAAACATTTTGCAATAATTTTAAAGCCGGATTTTAACTGATCGCCTTCTGAAAGTCATTTTGTAACAAATTGCTGACAAATTGTTGGTGTCGTTGAGCTTTTACTCTGATCATTACGGTATTTACGCAACTTCCAGCGTGAGCTTTACGTAACTTCCTGAACGTGGTGCGCACATCCCGGTGGTAAACAAAATATAAATCGCCTTGAAGTATTTAGTTTTTTTAATAGTTTTACTGCAACATGACGGGCCGTGTTCTCGCCTCTAGCCTGTCAGTGCTGCTGAGCGGACGGTTTGGTCGTAAAGTCGCGTCCGCGCAGACGGAAGCCCGTGAGTTCACACGCGCTGCTCCGCGCTCCCAGCTGCTGGGAAGCGGCGCGTTGACCGGCAGCGTGGACCGGTTCGGTGGAGTCACGGTGGACTTGGCTGAGGTGGGACTGCCGGAGGACATCAGCGAGGACGCGTTCAGCAGAAAACTGCAAGGTCTGAACACGAAGTTCCCGTTAAGTTCAGAGTTATTGATTTTATGAAGAATATCAAACAACAAATAGGACAAACTGCAAGAGGCAGACTGTTTTGATCAGCACTGACTTGTTATAAAATTATTTTGTTGTTGTTGTTGTTGTTGTTGTTGTTGTTGTTGTTGTTGTTGTTGTTGTTGTTGTTGTCGTTTAGACCAGGTGTTTGAAAAAATTTACATCAAAATGAGCCATTTGTGATCAACTGCTGGCTTTCCCCAGTAGGGTCATTATTACATCATTATACAACTAAAATGATTAATACTTGTTGGTATTTTTACATTTTACAACAAAAGAAGAGACCAGATTCATATAAAGATTTAAAAAGAATGTATGTATTTTACCAATTTTGTAAAAGTTAAAACTGAACTATGCAGGCCTTCGTGAGTTTTCTTTTTAATTGTGGAAAATATAATTAGGTGTCCTATTTTAAAGTAATACATTTATGAAGTTAAAGTGAGTATAAACATTAGGTGAATTTGTTGGATATTGAATTTTAAAATAAAATAAATGCTTACATTTAGGCCTGTCACGATAACACATTTTGCTGGGCGATTAATTGTCTCAGAAATTATTGCGATAAACGATAATATTGTTTGAAATTTGACAAAAAAATAGTAATGTCAAATTTAAGAAGAAATGTTGGTTAATTTTTGTGTGTAGTACCTTTTTTGACTACTGGATGGCAGTATAAGACTGTTTGAACTGAAGGATGGATAGTGAGGGAGCGAGCAGTGTGCCTTTAATGAAAAATGGGAGGGAGGCCCCTTGACGTGACATGGGCTGTCTCCTTCCTTTTTGTCAGTTCTCAGTATGGCGGACGCTTGGTGTGGTTTAAGCTCTTTAGCATAGCATTTGAAAGATCTCGCCGTAGGACTGGAAGTGAATCAAGAAGTGGCTAACAAACTACTAGCATGAGGTCATTAGCATGTTTTAGTCGTTTTATGAGTACCATCATTCACTTTTACTAAATAAAGGACATGAAAACTGAAAACTAGCCTTTTTATTGTTGTTATAACAACAAATTAATAAAAATCAGTTTTAAGTTTGTTTGCTCATGTATGGAAGCCCATTTCTGCCATTTATTTTAATAATTAATCTTTATTAAGCAGAAAGATAGTGATCCAAAATTATGACTTAGTAGTTTATATTTGTGGCTGCTATATTATAAGTGTCAGAATCAAAACATTATTATTACAAAGTACTTGTACAGCTACGAGGAATTTGCTTTGATGTTGATTGCAAAATAAAAATAAAACAAGGACATTTATATAGTGTAGTAAAGAAAAAATAAACAAAATCATAATTTATGTAGTATATTGTGATAACGGAGGATGCAGTAACTCGGTGGTCAGTGCCGCGGTCTCGTTCAAAACGCGGGATGTGCAGGAACTGTATCTGCCGTAAAATATTAGCTAAATATTTCGTGCAAGTTAACTTCCAGGAAGCGAACAGGAAGGAGATAAACAAGAGCATTCCTTGATCCTGAGATGCTAAATCATCATTTCTAGGTAGCATTAGTCAATTTTGAGACAGTACCTCATAATTATGGTTTAGAGGATTCTTTTTTAGAGATGGCACTAATGGGTTTCTATACAATGAGCTGAAATTCAAGAGGATTTATTTCAGACGTTTTCTGTTTTAATTTCTTTATAATTCTTTTGTGTTTTACACACTGGACTAACATTATTTTTTCTAATAGTTAATCAGTTCTAACTGTACCATATCTTCCAAACAGTACGTTTCTTTTTTTCTAAACGCGTGTTTCCAAAAGACATCCTGTAAATGTTTGGTCTCGTCTGCCGTTTGAACTCCGCAGGCTCTTTGGTTCGGTGGAAATCAGAAGGGAAGCTGGCGGTTTGGCTGCGAGTCCCCATCTCTCTGAGCCGATGCGCCGCCGCCGCCTCGGCTCACGGCTTCAGCTTCCATCACGCCAAGGAGGACCACGCCGTGCTGGCGCTGTGGCTGGGGGGCGGGGAGAGCAGGCTGCCAGGGTTCGCCACGCATCAGGTCGGAGTCGCAGGTAAAACGCTCACTCTGTCCCACCTGCACATCTGTTTTGGGCTTTTTCACTCAAAGCATTTACACGTCAAAACAATGACAAGATTTAAAAACACATTTTTCTTTAAAACTCAGAATTAAACTTTAATTAAAAAAAAAAGATTAATCCCAAAGATCCAAAACACTTTTAAGGGTTTTAACTGGGCTCACTTTTTAAACTTTAGATCTAGTGTGAAAATCCATTAGGTCACGTTTAGTTAAAAAAAACAACTTATTTTAAAAGTAAACCTAAAAATATAAAACGCGATATAATAAGAGTTTGGACATTTTACACAGAACGGCAACTGATTGCAATAAACTGATTTTTCTAAAAGCAAGAAGCCACAAAAATGAGAATTTAAAATAATATAAATGATAAAATAATAGTTTTTGGTGAAATCTTCACATCAGGATTTTGAATTTGTAGTTTTGATAATGTAATTAAATCTAATAAATATTAATATTTCTACAGAACGTCTGGAAACATTTAGAGTTCAACTTTTCTTTCTGCACTTCGACGGCTATGGTCACATTTGTGTTTGCTAAGGTGGATTAGTTGTGGCTGCCATCTTGACATCTAATCTCCAGTTAGGAGGTTATTTTGCTAAAAGACACACACACACACACACACACACACACACACACACACACACACACA